ATGTCCTTATGCTGTGTAGCAAGTTTGAGGTGATTTCGACTTCAATTTTTCAAGTTACGGCCATTTTAAGAAAATGCCAAAAATCTGAAAAATACCCTGTACTATAGCCCATGGTTTTTTCCAAAAAATGGCTCCGAAATCACCCCAAATTTTTATTACATTTTCTGATACATATCGATGTACTTATGCTGTGTAGCAAGTTTGAGGCGATTCCAACTTCAATTTTTAAAGTTACAGTCATTTTAATCCTACTCCTACTGTATTGTCCCTAGGGAGTTGAGTGAGCAGGTTCAAAGTGCTTTAGTTCAACTTGAGCAGGAACGAGTCTCAGCTGTCAAGAGGTGCCAGAGAGCACACGAAGAACTCAAGAAAAAACAAATTGTAAACTCAAAAAACTATCTTTATTTATTAATCTTTATTCATTATATTTAGGAATTAGATTGTTGTACTGCTAAAGTGTCTGATTTGAAGTCAAGGCTGGCCCACGCTAGGGAAAGGAGTAAGATTGATACAGCTCATCTCCAGGACAAACTACAGAGATTGTCTGATGACTCCAAGAAAAGAATAATGACACTTCACAATGAATATGCTGAAGTATTAATAATAATAATAATAATACCTGTATATACTGCTCTCTTTCTATTAGTTACAGGATAGATTCACTGCTGTTAATAAAGAACTGAAACAGTTGAAAGAGTTACAGATCAAGCAGGAGAATGCCAGCAGCAGTGCTAGGGTCTCTGTCACTAGCAGTAGAGAACTGGAGGAGCTGAAGGTTGAGCTGGAGACACAGAAACAGCTCACAGACCAGTACGGTGCAAAGGTAAAAATAATAAATGATTATTAATTATTAATAATAAAAGCTGTTATTATACATGTACATGTATTTGTGTATTATTATATTTATTATTAATTTATTATTATTATTATTATTATTATTCTAAAGGTACTTGAGTGTGAGAAGGAACTAAGTTTAAAGACTGTACAGTGTCAGGAGATGGAGAAATCACTTGATCTTGAAGCTACTCTGAAACAATCTGTAAATTATAATTAAACTTTAATTTTATTTATTTATTTTTAGTTGCAAGATAAGTATGACGCAATACTTAAAGAACTGAAATGCTATGAAGAGGCAGAGAGGGAGGAGTCAAAAACCACACCTACCAGCAGTAACACTGATGACAACATCTCTTCACTTCAAGAAGAACTTCTCATTCAAAAACAACTAACTGATGAATATAACTTTAAAGTATGGAACTATTAAGTATTTTACATGCAGTTTTATTGCTTATATACATGA